ACTGGAATTACAGGCGTGCGTCACCACACCCAGACTCAGAAGCCAGCTCAGTGTAACTGGGAATGGGGCTGGTGTGGCATGCGGTACAGGGGATCAAACCCTGGTCCCTGCTCTTGCCTAAGCAGGAACTTCATCTGCTGAACTATCTCGCCAATCCTGTTTCCTTTAAAAAAAAAAATACTTATAGGTATTATCTTGCCAACACTTAAAAATCAAAAGGGAAGAATAATATAAAGCCATACAATCCTAAGGCCACGTTGTACAAAAAGAACAAACCTGAAGACACTATTCTCTTCTTCTAAAAATATATTACAAGGGCAGTGCACTGAGATGGCGACTGAGGCTGGGCATGGTGGCAGTACCTGTAATCCCAGAATGTAGGAGGCTGAAAACAGGAGGATCACTATGAGTCTGATCTGTGTAGTGAGACCTTGTAGATCCTGTACTAAACACATTAAATGTATATACACATATATTACAAAACTATAATAACCAAAATTACGTAATGCTTACAGCAAAACAAACTGATCGAAACGGTAGAAGAAAACCCCAAAATACATACTTTTCTTTGCAAATGATTTGAAACAAACTTGCAAGAAACACCGTGGGGCATGGGGATTCCCTTCAATGCAGGAATAGCTGTATACCCAAAAACAGAACAAATCAGAACCTAATCTCACACCATATACAAAAATGAACTCAAAGAGGCCCAATGAACTGAGCTTAAGAGTCAAAACTGTGAAACTACTAGAAAAAAAACCACTAGATGAGATCACCACGTTATTGTTCCAGAGAGTAATTGTTTGGTTACCACCTCAAAAGCACAGAAAAGAAAAGCAAAATTATATAAATTATGGCACACAAAAATAAAACCTTTACTATGAGAAAGGAAAAAGGCAATAGAATATGAGATACTGTGTAGAATGGAATAAACTGTTTTCCAAGTATTTATTTGAAAAAAAAGGTAATACACAAAATATTTAAGGCACTGAAACACTTCCATAGCAAGAATAACGACAATTGGAAAATGGGTAAAACATCTAAACAGGTATTTCTCAAAAATAAAACAGCAGATTGGCACAGATATATAAATAAAGATATATAAATAAATAATATTAATTATCAGAAAATGAAGATCGAAATTAATACTGTCTCACTTCTTTTAAAGTCTCATTATGCAGCTCGTACTCTAGTGATCCTCCTGTTTTCAGCCTCCCCAACACTGAGATTACAGGCGTGCATCACCACACCCAGACTCAGAAGCCAGCTCAGTGCAACTGAGGATGGGGCTGGTGTGGTATGTGGTGCGGGGATCAAACCCCGGTCAGTATGCAAGACTACTATTGTAGGGAGGAATGTTGAGATAAGAGAAAATTTTCACCAATGTGGGCAAACTTTCCGCACATGTGCCACAGCAAGGTGTTTGTACCACTGAAAGGCCTGAAAGTTTTGCCATTACTGACTTATTCTTTCGGCACAAATATAAATTAATAGGGCCAGTATGGTTAGCACTATGGAGGTTTCTTAGAAAAAATAAATAAAACTAAATATTCTATATTGAGACAAAATACCAGACACCCAAATTAGGGAAGGCAAGGTTTATTTAGCTCATGGTTTGTGGAGGTTTCAGTCTGTAATCGGCTGGTTCCAAGGCAATGTGACACAGCACAGGGGCAGGGTCAACACTTTAGGCAGCAAGAGACAGCAAAAGCAGCAAGAGCAAAACAGGAGAACAAGCTCCTCCTCCTTCTCCCTTATATTGTAAGCAGGCTGCCCTGCCCCACCCCAGGGTAGGTGTTACACTCACACCATGCCCGCGCTCTCCTCTTGCATAGGATGAGGATGTTTAAAAAGTAAGCACCCTGGTTCCCTGCTGAGTCCCTTAGTTAAACTTCTCAACTTCTCAAGTTGACTCAATGTACCACCCCTTGCAATATCCAAAATGAAGGTATATCCAAAGGGAATAGAATTTCCTGTTTGAGCACAATGGAGCCTTGGTTCAAAAATTTAATTTATCCCACGATTCTGGAAAAGATGGCCACACCCATATTTGTGCAAGAAAGATGGTCATGGCTGTAGCCATTATTTGATGCAGAGTTCCCAGAGAAAACAACTTTAGCAAATGCTTGTGAGTTCATAGTAGAGTATTTGCAAAAGAAAAGTGTTCGTGAGCTGAGGTGCCTCTGTACTACCCACCTTAACCAGACACGGAATTGAACTAAGAATCTAAGAATGCAAGAAAAGATAAAGTGCTTTAAATATATACAATGGAGTGTTATTTGTTCATAAAATAGTAAATCCTGCTGTGACCCTTAATTCTGGTATGCCAGCTTGACTGGATTAAAACATGCCACAAACCGTACCTCTGTTTGTCCATCACGATGCTCAGGCCTTGCAGCCTACCGAACATGAACTAGATGCCTTCAAA